GCAAAAGATAGAGATTAGCTCTCCAAAAGTAGCAAAGTAAGTGGTTTGGACCAACTCTCTGAGAACAATTAGAAAAACTAGAGAAAATGTAAAATATTTAATGTAAGATATGAAAAGCTTATTTTGAAAAGATTGGAGAATTAAGGCAATGAAGAAATTTCAAGGCTAAGATCTGTAAAAGAAGGTAAGCCAGATGTGAGCACACCATTTTAGCTAAATGAATCTAGCAATATGGTAGAAATGAAATGTTGATTTGACATTAGAAAATAAATTAATGTAAACCACTACATTAACATCTTAAAGGAAAAATATAATTTCAATAAATGTTAGGAAGTATTTTATACAATTTAACATATATTGATGAATAAAGAAACTTAGCAAATTTGTAGTAGAAGAAAACTTCCTTAATCCAATAATAGGAATCTACCACCACCACCACCCCAAAAAAACCCTACAGCAGACATTGTAGTTAATAATGAAATGGTGAATGTATTCTTAAAGATCAGGAATAAGACAAGAGTGCCTGCTATATTAACAGTTCTATTCAACATAGTACTAAAAGTCCTAACTAGTGCAGCAAGGAAAAAAATTATTAAAAAACAATTGTTTGTAGATGATGATGATTACTGATAAAGACAACAAAAATAACCTACAGATAAAGTATTAAAATAGCAATATCGATGGATAAATATTTTAAAAATCAGTTGCATTTCTGTATACCAGCAGCAAAGTACAATTTTTAAAAGAACATTTATAAAAGCATTTTAAAAAATGGCAGGTACCCAGGAATAAATCTTAACAAAAAGTAGGCAAGACCCATATGGAGAATCTCCATGGTAAGTGGAGATATGTCATGTTCATGGATTGGAAGACCCCATATTGTAAAGATGTCAATCCTGTGCAAGCTTTTCTATAGATTTATAACAATCGCAATTAAAATCCACATCTGGATTTGTGTGTGTGTATATAACTTGTTAAGTTGATTGTAAATGTATAAGGATGTCCAAAGGTCCAAGAATTGCCAAAATACTCTTGCTAAGTAAATCTTGAATATGTGGAAAAGTATGCATATTATTGATGGAATGATGCAATATTGTATGATATAAATTCTACTAAATTAATTTGTAAAGTTAGGACATCCCAATAAAAAATACCAATAAGATATTTTAGTAAGTCCTGACATGCTATATCTAAAGTTCATTTGGAAGAGAAAGCATATTAGCCCCCCAAAAATGTTTATAAAGCAATGTTTATTAAAATGTTTATAAAGCAATAAAGCAATCTTGCCTTGCCACATATCAAATATACTATAAACCTTTTAGAAATTAAAATGATGTGATGGAATTGCATAGAATAGAATATAGAGTACAAAAACAAAACATATATCATAAAGATGGCATTTCAAAACCAATGAGAAAAGTGTAGGCTTTGGTATTGAGACAAATTATATACATTTTTATTTTTTTAATTTTTAAAATAGATTTTATTTATTATTAATTTTTAATTTAGTTTCAAGTATACAGTACATTGGTTAGACATCTATGTAGTTCATAAAATGATCCCCCCAATTGTACCCTCCCTCCCTTGACCCTCTACCTAGCCAATGTATTAATGCTAACTGCATTCCCTATGCAGTGCTCTCCATCCCTGTGACCATC